GTCATTTCAAGTTTAACATCAAGAACTAAAATATCAAGTAAATTTTATAAAAAAAATTTTTTTTTGTTGTCTATCAAATTAATTTACCAAGTATTTCAAGTATAGCATTTGTTTGTTCATCGGATAGTTTATTTTCAGTTGGTATTCCATCCAAAATACATTTTACACATAAAATAGAATCTTTATAATATCTAGATAAGAAAAGACAATGCAATTTAGAGAATATTAATGATTAAACTTTGAGTTTAAACTTGAAACGAATTCGAAGTCTAAATGAATCTTCGAATTTGAATACTTACTCGATTGGTAATGAACGAATTTCAAGAATTGAATCACACCATCCAGTATTTCCCCTAATTTAAAAATACATATTAAAATTAAAGAACAAAAATAAATAAATAAATATATATATAAATTTTACCAATCAATGTATTGTACATGAACACGATTTTCATCAACTTCCAATATACGAGCTCGATACCAATCTCCATTAAAAAGTGCAGCACAAAATTGTCCAACAACAAGTCTAATAAAATAAGAAAACCAAAAAAAGAATTAATTTTTCTCGTCTTCTAAATTACGATTCTTTAGTGAAATACAAACTAAAAAAGGATGTTGAAATACAGGGATAAAAATTTACACCCCTTCTATCCACAGACATTGATACACAACCACAGAGCGTATATTAATAAGGTCTCATTATTAGAGAAGTTGGGAGTTCAAAGTTTTTTATTGTATGCCAGATTTGACTTCAGAAGTTTAGCTTTTCTCGAGTTCGGGTTTACAAAAACTCAGATCCGCAGGTCTCTATTCGGTATAACATATCAACTACTTCGTTATTGCATTTCTCAAGGAGGAAGTAAAAGGATGATGAAGAGATAAATCCCACAATAGATAGAATAAAACAATCTTCGTGTGGTTAGCAAGAGCAGCTACATCATGTTTTATATTTTAATTCCGCAAGGATTGTGTTAGTAACTTTTGTTTTCTTTTTACTTTGATTTATAAGAATTGGCTTGAATTTTTGTAAGTTGTTCATGTTTATTCATTTGTGTTATAAGTAATGTTGCATTAACATAATCATCTAACGTTGCTGCAAATATTATATTAGGTACTTCAAGATTCGATAAATAAACACAATAACTTTTATTTATTATAAATAAATCATGTTCACGAATATTCATTGTTAATTCTAAATAATAATAAAAAATTTCTTTTTTAATATAAAAAATATTATATTTACCATTTTGTAATGTATTTTTATCATTTTGTTGTTCAATATTTGTACCATTCCATAATGGTTTATTATTATTATTATTATTATTAGTTAATAATGTATCTGATTCATTTGTATTCAAAGGTGTACTATTTGTTTTTAATCGTATTGTGTTTGTTGGTGAACGTTCACTAGCTGGTCGAAAACCACTAAATCGATTTTGAATACTAGGTGATGATGCACCATTATTATCTTCATGTAATTCGCCATTATTACGACTATCAAATCAAATTTTCAAAAAAAAAAAAAGAAGTCTTTCAACTATCAACTTATTACTCACAATCCATTTTGTGGTCGATCAGTATTATTATTACCCAATCGTGTCTTAAAGAGAAAAAAAAACCCATTATTTAATTATTTAAAATAAAAAAAGAACATTTTTACTGATGCATGATTAACACGTAAAGTAAATCGATCAATAACAAAATTATTCATATTTTCAACAGCTTTAGTACAACTATCTGATTCAGCAAAATTAACAAAACTAAAAATATTTTAAATCAAATGAAAAAAGTTATTTTATTAATTAAAAATACAAATCTTACCCACAACCACCATCAAAATTTGGATTACTTGGTAAAACTTTACTTGATACAATACGACCAAATTTTGAAAATAGTTCTTCAAGTTGACTCTACAAAAAAAAACCCAATCGATATTAAAATGATCCTTTTTATTTTAAATGAAAAAACTTTACTTCATTATAATTTGCTGGTAAATTTTTTATAATAATACTATTAACACGTCTTTAATTAAAATTTAAAAAAAAAATTAAATTTTAAATAAATTATCTATCTACCTTCCGTTATCGTTCATTGTTAAACTTTGATTCTATAAGATATAGAAACTGGGGAAAAAATCCAATATTAAATTTATCACGATAGAGGTACATAAATACGAGAGACAGTATATATATGTAGAACGATCGATAAATGGATTGGTTAAATTCTACCAAACCAAATGAATCATAGTAAACTTCGTCAAAATAAAAAAATAGAAGCCTTATTAAGGGAAATATACGTTGCATCTTTATTTATTCTTCGTTTTTCAATGTAACATCTGACTACAATGTTCGTCACAATTTTTTCAAGGTGAATCAATTAACGACAGCTGTAGCCTGTCTTAGACAAATACAGGAAAAAAAAACCACAGCTAGTTGACAGAAGTTTCCTTTTTTTTTGTATATATTCTTGTTTATAGACACACAAAAAAGAGAGGTACTAAATAATTTCTTCTTTATTTTTTTTTGATGCAAAAATATTTATAACATTATTTTTTTTTATAGATTATTCTTGTCTCTCTTTTTTCAAAATAAATATAATTTTTCAACATGTCTTTCTTCAGTCGATTATTTAAATTTCGAATATTCGTATGTCATATTTCTCTTTAATATTATTTAAAACAAAAATAGATAAATTCAATTTTATAGAAATTTCGTACGACTCTTTCCGAAGAACTTGAAGATCTTCATACAGTAAGAGTTTTTTGTTTTTTTTCAAATAAGTTTTTTCTTTTGTCTTGTTCTAGGAGTCACTCCATTTACAGCAGAATTTAATTCAAACACGTCTGCTTCAACGAAAATGGACGAAATTAATTGCTGTCTATGTTATTTTAGCATATTTAATTGTGAACATTGCTTATTTTACTCTTTTTCTTTCACCTGATTATATTACTCGTATTTATGCAGTCTTGGTTTCTTTAACACTTGGAGCCATGTAAGTACTTTTTTTTTTTAATGAAAGCTCTTAATATTGATTTATATTAAAAACACCAAGACTCTATGCAGTTTATTGGCTTATCTGTTGGTATTTTCGAACTGCTATTCAAATGAAAGGTCAGTGAATGCATAGGATAGAATAAAAGAGAGAAAAAAAAACATATAATTTTTATTTGCATTTTATAGAAGATCGATTAGCATTGTTCAAAGATCGAAAACAAGAATTGGTAAGAAAATTGTACATGATAAATATAATTTCTATTAGATATTTTTCAATTTTTTCTTTCAGATTGAAGAAGTAAAAAATAAGGAAACATATGCAGTAGCTAAAGCTCTATTAGAAAAATATGGTGAAACAATAACACCAGAAGTTCGACCAATACCAACTGAAAATAATAATAAAGGTATGTCGAGAAAAAAGAAACGTGAAGAATATACATAGATGAAATATAAGAATAAAAATACAATTGATTAGATAAAATATTAAAATCCATAGAGAGAGATTATGATTAAAGTAAATTGTGCAGAAAAACGATTAAATCAATTTTTATTTTCGTTATTATTTATAGATTTACGTCAACGTGTATCCGTCAAACCAACACCACCCGGTTCAGACAAACCTTCTGTTCCTAGTAGAACATGTTTTGTTTTTTTTTAAATAAAACCTAACCGATGAATGTTTTCTTTTAGCTCCACCACCTAATATCGGTACATTAGAAACGTTTAATCGACAGACACCGGTACCTAATGCACCAGATCGTTCAACTGGTACATATTTTTGTTAATATGATTATTAGAAATTATAGTTTCAAATATTATTTAGCAAATGCTATGCCTGGTAAATTACCACGAGCAATTTTACCACCACAACGAACATTCTGGGGAACAATTCTTGATACTATTGTAGGCGATGGTCCATCGAAACGGTGAGATGATCATTTTTTGTTTTTATATAAGAATTTAAAATCGGTTGGAGTTTTGCATATTGCAGTTTAATTTGCGACGGGCATTTACATGAACGATGGAAATTTCGATTTCGGTAGAAAGTTATTAAATATAGGACGAGGTTTTTTTCTCGTTCAAGGGTTTAAGGGTTCATTATTTGCTTAGTTTATTTTCTTTAGAATATATTTAATTTATTCTTCTTTTTCATTTAGCTATGCATTAATTTGTAAATCTTGCAATAGTCATAATGGTTTGTTGTTCTATTGAGCTGAGTAAATATTAAAAATGAGTATGTTGTTTTGTTTTTTGTTTTTTTATATAGGCATGGCATTAGAAGAAGAATTTGAATATTTATGTAATATTATTAATAATAATAATTTGATATTAAATAAAAATCTTTCTATGTTTAGCTTTTCGTTGTGCGTATTGTAATTATTTTAATAGTGCTCGTAAACAAAAACCAGTATTTCATGGTAATATTGTTGCACATGATCCTCAAACAACAACGACAAATCAACCACAAAACGAATCTATTGTTGAACGTATGGAATCATCAACTTCAGAATCATCTAATTCTAATGAAGGTATTAATTTTGTTTTTGTTTCGCTTTGTAAATTATCAAGATATTGCTTGTTGAGTAGATAATACAGCGAATAATACAGGTTCGAATGTTACACGTCGATCAATTCGTATTCCAGCTTCAGAAAATACTAATGAATCTCAATCTCGTTCTACATCAGTTGAAAATCAACGAGAAAAAAATTCAGCATTATCATCATCAGAAGGAAATTAATCAAGCTAAATAAATAAATATCAACAACGATTATTCTTGCCTGTAATCAAGCATCCGTATCTTTCACATCTTTGAAGTAACCATGCATTTTATGATTGTTTATTTTATTAATCAAAAATTATCGATTAACATACAGGACAATAAATTTCTTTTTTTTTTGTTTTAATTGGTGGTAATCATGCCTGTATCTTTTCTTCTTCTGTCTTATGAAATAAAATGAAAAGTGAATCTCATGTCGTCATTATTTATCTATCTCATACAATTATATTGACATTGCACTATCAATAAAAAAAATTTTAAAAAATAAAAATATATCATAAGATAGAATGTCGTTCTATCTTGTCTAGTTTTATCATAAATGTACAAGTAAATAAATCATTTTGAATAAACTTTTTGTTTTTTTATATATAAATATTTAATTGGATTATTTTTAAGTGTTATCCCTTGTCGATGAGAATTCGGAAGAGCAATTGTCAATAGAAGAAAAGATTAGTAAGAAGTATGTTAATATATTAGCAAGATGAAAACATTTTGAATTAAGTTCGATTCATTTCTTTTTTTAGCTTGAATAAATTAAGTACAATATATTTTCAAAATGTATTTACTCTTTCGTTTAAATGATACACATTTAAATTGAGTTATGGGACTATTTTTAATTGCTTCTTTTTTGTTTTTTAGTAAATTAAAACGACGACTGAAAGCTGAAGAACAAGCACGAAAACAAACTATTGTACAAGAGCAAACATTAAGTGCAAATGATGAAGTAACTTCTCGTCATGAGAATAACGATCAAGAACTTTATTCTAATGTAAGTCCATCTGAAGAGACAAAAAAGAATGACCTATCATCGTTACTTACAACAAAATCAGTACAAGATTCAACTATTAAAACAGAATGTAATTGTTGCAAAAAAAAAAAAAAGATTAAAATTAAGACGAATCTTACTTTTTTTTTGTCTAGGGATATTTTTCATGATCTACAGGTAAAATTATAGGGAGGTCGAAAATTCTCTCATTGATTCTCATAAAAAAGCCTTATTTCTATAAATACTTGGTACAGTCCATATAACTTACGAGGGAATCTCTTCAGCTGTTCCCTTACAATTTCCATGATTTTTTTCTGTCTCTAGATACTACATAGTGTTCTAATAAAAACTGAATTCCTATTGATAGTGGACTACGCTACCAAATTTTTAATATGTCTATCTCTCCAGATTTTCGGAAAACTTGTTTTTTTTTAATTTTGATCTGAAACGTTACGCACATGTTACAATTTACATTTGATAAAAAGATCGAAAAATTAATAAAATTTTTAAAGAAACATTGATTAGTTAAAAGTGAATTAGAGAAGTAGATTACACCACTTATAATAGAATCAAAGCAAACTATTCAGTGATATGTGTTCCTGCTGGACACTACACCATCTTGCTAAACACTACAGAATGTACCAATTTTTTTATAGGATTTCGAATTTTTAGGAAAGTTAGCGAAAGAAACCTGAGTCAGGAACAAAATTCATGTAATCCAAACTATAGAGTTCAATATTTATTTGTATATTATTAGGACTATTACAAGATGCAATTGCATCATATACAACAACTTAAACAATCTGATGAAATAATCTATCTACATAAGTATCATGTTTCAATATCATTATGAGATTTTATTGATAAATATTCTTATTCAAAAAAAATGATGAAATTAATGAAAATATTATTTCTGTAGTTGATAAAATATAATTTAATTTATTTGAGCATAAAAAGTATCATTTTGTTTTATTTGAAGTAGAACGTGTATATTCAAAGCGTTCTTCAAGATGCAAACTTCATTTCTGTATGATCTTCATAATGATTCACTTAATATTCAGATTATGGCTGATCTACAGTAAAATTTATTTCTTATTTTGAGACTTAAATTAAATCTCATTTTTATAGATTTTATTATGATCAAACAAAATTTGCAATAATAAATATTCGAATTAATCGTGGTGATATTATCGGTACTTAGGGTAAACCAAGTAAGTAAATTTTGAATGTTATCTTTTCATTAATTAATTAATTTGTTTTATTTAAGTACGAACTAAAGATGATGAATTAAGTCTTATATCAAGTGAATTGATCATTCTAACACTAACACTTCATTAATTATCGAGTTTATATTATTCTCTTAAGGATAAATTATTCATTTTTTGTTTTGTTTCGAATCGAAAAATTTATTAATCAATTGTTTTTTTTTTTTATTATTAAGGAAACTCGTTTGTGTCAGAGATATCTTGATTTAATGATAAATGATTCTGTTCGATAAAAATTTATTGTTAAAATAAAAATAATTAATTATATACGACAATTTGTGAATTCATTGGACTTTCTTGAAATAAAATTACAATACATAAATAAAATATTCAATTCGACAAAATAGTCATTGATAAATATGAAAATCTTTTACAAAGTTAACATGCAATTTTTGATCTCAATCTTTTGTAAAGATTCGATTATTGATCAATATCATTATAGAAATTTTGATGATAGTCATAATGACATATGCGTAACATTAAAATTCAAATAAAACTGATTATGTTTTTTCCTAGATAGAATATAAAACATTTAAAAATGTATGATATATTTTTTTCTAATTTTTAGATGACAACAATACTTACTCGACGTTTAACATCGAATATTTCATTGACTAATAATCGACAATTTTGGAGTTGGCTTAATTATGTTTGGAACAGGTAAATTATATTAAAATTTACGAGTTTTATTCAGTTAAAAATTATATACAGTGGATACGAAAATTATTCAACAAGGTTTATTTTCAATTTCTTTTTCCGCTGCTATAAACACTAGAAAGAATCTAAATAATAATTCGAACTGAGCAAATTACTTCCAAAAGAAATATAGGGAAATAAAAACTATTATCAGATTTTCAAAGACAAGAACTCCAGAATACGAAAACCCTAGAGTGCGTAAATATAATTTTATTTAGACTATATAGAATGATAGAGTAAACAATTCTCTACAAAATAAAACATCTCAGAATTTTCTGCAACGTTTTTTACCTGAGATACAGCAATTTAGTTAATAAGATTGATGTATTTCAGCTAAAGAATGTCTCAAAGACCTCAGAGATATTTCATTTTGTAAAAAATTATTTGCTCTATGTAGTCTAAATAAAATTATATTTACACACTTTCAGTGTTGAAAAACTAGGATTTTGACTTTCTGAAACATCTACCTTTGGGAATCTGATAATAATTTTTATTCTCTTATATTCTGATTGGAAGCTATTTTTTCCTGACGATTACGAAAGCGTAAAAAACATTGAAAATCAACTTCGTCGAATAATTTTAGTACTCATTGTATCTATGTAATGAATTTCTATTAATACTTCTTATTTTTTTTTGAGTTGATCTATTTTTAGATAGTATTTTATGCGTTGATAAATGCACAAATTGTAAATAAAGATAATAGACACATGTGTATCATATTTATAGCGTAACTATATCTTTTGTTTGATGAGTGCTTGCATGTCACGTTAATAAGAGACAACTAGTGCAAAAGATTTTCAAAAGATTGACATAATTATTTGTTGAAAATTTAATTCTAAGACTTGTCATCGGATTTATTTTCTGTCGAAGAAAATAATTATCTTACTAAATATTATCTTAATGAATGGAAATATAAGATAAAAATAAATATTCTAGAAAACAATTGAAAAAATTTATATATCGAAGATAAAGCATATAATAACTGAAACAATGAATATAACATGATGATCGGTTTTCTAATTATTTTTTTTAAGCTAAAGTTTTCGAATAATACAGAAAAATGTTTCTTATATATTAATTGTTTCTAAATATAATACTCATGAGATAAAGAAAATGAAGACAATTTCGTCTGAATTTAATTACATATATATATAATGAATATCCTATAGATATGATCGAAAACGTGTTCAAGAAATTGGTCCTGATCGTGCTTGTGCTGAATGGTTATTACGATGTAGTGGTTCAGTACGATTTAAAAATTGGACTTCAATAACATCAGATTATAATGTAATACCAAGTGGTGGTCCAGGACAATGTAAACTCGAAGAAATTCGTGCTATTAAAGCTTGTATTACATCTGATGGTTTTGCTTATTTAGGTTATTTTATTGTTTTATTAATCTATTTCTAATTTAATGTTTTTTTTTTGTTGTTGTTACATAGATGGATTAACTGATTTAAAAAAAATTCATTTAGAAAAATGTGATCAAGTTGGTGATGGTATGTTGAAATTTTATTGAATCTAATAAATTAATGCATTTTTTTGTTTCAGGTTCGATTATACGATTTAAAAAAGTTAATGATACATTAGAATCTATAGCATTAATTGATCTTGTTCAAATAAGTGACAATGGTCTTAGTAATTTAAGTGATTTAAAGTATATAAAACTATTTTTTTGTTTATTTATTTATATAAAATCAATATGGTTTTTTAGAAATTTAAAACAAATCATTTTGGCACGTTTACCCGGTATTAAAAATCGTGAAGGAATAATTAAATTATTACATAATGAATTACCAAAATGTACTGTTAATTATGATGATGATTATCCACCTGCTCCTGAACTTAAAGATAAATGAACAGAATTTCTTTTTTTCTGTGTGTGCATTTTTTTTTTATTTCATACAAATAAAATTTTCATGTCCTTGTTTTAGCTATTGATTGTTCCATTTTTCCTATTCGATCCTTTATAAAAAAAAAAAAAAAGAACCAACAACAACAAAGAATTAAGAATGAAAATATTGTATTTATTACCTCAATAATTTTTACATGAATACTAGCTTCAATCATACGTTGTCTTAATGCATGAATTCGTTTAATATATTCTTCTATTTCACGATCACCAGGACATTGTTTATAAAGTGTAGCTAATTCTAAATAAAGAAAGATACAAAAAAAAAAGAAATAATAATAATAGATTCACCTTCATTTATTGCTGTTAGACAATTTCCAAGTGCTAATTGACGATGTCTAAAATAGAACAACCTATTAATTTTATTCTGAATGAAAGAAACATAAACATACCGAACTTGTTCTACAGTTCCATCAAATTCTTGAATAACAGGTACAAGAAAATTGATAAAATCATTTGGAATTGTTGACATTCTTTTCAATTCATAAATTGCTACTCATCATAATATCTTTTTCTTTTTTGTCTTTTCATTCAAATTTTATTTCTATTGGTTCGTAAATGAGTTAGAGGCTCGCATCAATTATCAATGGTATGAACTACACCAATAGTTTACTAAAACAACAATGACATATTTGTAAGTACAATTTATTAACTTATTCAAGCTAATTACTTTTTTAAGTTCTCAATATATAATTATTATTAAATATTTTATGTGATCTATTCTTCTTTCTTTCAAGATATTTATTTAAATGGCATCGATAGAACAAACTTCTACCAATGATTCTGGTAATAATGATGATAAAAAATCATCATCATCATCAAATAATGAAAAAGATTCAGGTTTTGAATGTAATGTAAGTTTAATATTGATTATATTTTTAATATATAGGAAAAAAAAAAACAAATAACAAAGAATCATTTTATTACTTTATTTAGATTTGTCTTGAAACAGCTCGTGATGCTGTTCTATCACTATGTGGTCATTTATTTTGTTGGCCATGTATTCATCAATGGCTTGAAACTCGTGCACATAATCCAACATGTCCTGTATGTAAAAGTAGTATATCACGTGATAAATTAGTGCCTATTTATGGAAGAAATTCTCCACAAACTGATCCAAGGTTTATATTTAATTATTTATTTCAAATCCTATATTATATATATGTATGTGTTTAGAAATACTACACCACCACGACCCGCTGGTACAAGACAAGAACCTCGTCGAGGTCGAGTAAATAAGATCTAGAGAAAAATAAAACGAACAAGAGAATTTTATTATTATTTTATTTAGAATTTTGGTTTTGGTGATGGTGTTAATTTTCAAATGTCATTTGGTGTTGGTGCTTTTCCATTTGGTCTTTTTCAAACAACATTTACAACAAATAATAATAATGATCATCAATATGGTCCACGTAAATACATATCTTAAATAAAATTTTTCTTTTTTTTTTAAAAGAATTATTTTGTTTTAGCACCACCTGATACACCTGAACGTTATCATCATGATTTATTATCACGTATATTTCTAGGGATTGCATTAGCTGTCATTTTGTTCATTATTTTTAATTGATATTATACGCTATAAAAGAAAACATCGTAATTTATTTCTACTCTGCTCAAAAAAAAAAAAAGTAATAGCATGTTTTTTTTTCTTTTTGGTCTATCTATGTATTTTCATGTGCAAAAAGAAAAAACATCGAAATGTATCTTCTGTTTTCTTTTTTTTTTTTGGTATTTTTTATTTCGATAAATGTGTAAATATATTTAAAAAAACAGATGACAGTATTTATGATGGGTAAATTATTTCTATTTTAGATTATAGAAATTTTAGATTTAATTTCATTTAATGATATAATAAACATCATTATGATGTAAAAAAAAGTGAGAAAGATATATTAAGAACATAAATTTATTTGTATATTCGAAGAATTATGATTTGTCTATATTGTTTAAGAAATAAATTTTCATACTATATTCAAAGAAAATTTCATGTGAAGGCGATATGTGTTGAGTTTTTGAAAAATCCATGATTTTTCTTCTAGGTAAATGTTAGCAAAAAAAAAATCTAGCCTACAATAGAAAAGTAATGTAAATTTTCAATGTAGAAATCTATGGTTTTTTTTATTCTGCAATAAGGTTAGTCAATTTTTGTTGGACGATCTTTTGAATTAAGTTTTTTTTTCTGGAAAAAAGTGAACTCATTTAAATGGATGAAGAAGAATGCGAGCTACATTTTGATAATTAAAGTTTCTTTTTTTGATAAGCGAATCCTCAATAAAGTATTTTGGTTCTTTTACGACAAACAACATAAGATGTTCATGTAAAAATTTTTCTAATATAAGTGATTTGACGGATACTTTGAAGTTTCACGAAAGATGTTTTGAAGAAAGCATTTTCTGAAAGATTTCGAATACGATACTTGAAAACAAAAATGATAAAAAATTTACTTGAAAATTTTGTATTGT